TGCTGTTTTAGTATTGTTGATATTAGTGGTGAAGGAAGACAACGTGAAGGAAGACATTGTGACAGCACTATATTTCAAAATAGCGAGTTGGGTAAGCGATTCAGCGATGGATCGCTTCAATTACCTGCAGCAATGTATATTGATAACACTAATATTAAGTTGCTGTATGTGTTAGTTGCAGATGAAGCATTTGGATTAACGAATTATATGATGAAACCATTTCAACAAAAAAATCTTGACTTATGGAAGAAAGTCTTCAATTATAAATTAACTCGTGCTCGACGAACAGTAGAATGTGCTTTTGGAATACTCGCTAACAGATGGAGGATATATGGAAGACCCATAAATGCGTCGGTGCCCACAGTTCGAAAAATTATTCAGGCAACAACAGCCTTGCATAATTTCGTAATGTTCACTGAGAAAAATTTGAATGCAAAACAGCGACGATATTCAAATTTTACACCACAAGACCGTACAACAGTTTCTCACGGCTTGAGGGATCTACCAAGAAACTCCTTGTCAAATGTTATTGAAGCGAAGCAGATCAGAGAAGACTTTACAGACTTCTTTTATGGAGTTGGGGCATTGTCATGGCAATGGGAGAAAGCGTTGAACAATGACTTTTAAATGGCAAATGTAAAAGAATGTGCAATTGAAAACTTGTGTGAAATGTAAATCATATATTATGTAAATTTTGTCTTGTTAGGATAGGTTTTCTTAGATTGAACACTTCAAACGTAGAAAATATTTTTATATAAATAGAAAAGTGTTGTTGAAAATAACGTTTTCTGTATAGTCGAAATTTAAGAATTACCGATCAACACATGTAAAAGTTATAGATATATGGGGTGACGATATGTGTCGCTCTTGTTGTTTTCGACTTGTTTTTCTAGAGAAATTCCTTTCTATCGCGACGATCGACTCACTTCGTGTCGTGGCTGCGAGCTAACAAGTCGTATATTTCATTTGTGTCTTCAGTTACCATTTTTCTTTTGTATTACACGCGAGACTCAATATCAATTTTATTTTTCAATTGTGTTTGAATAAAATCATCGTGTATATCATATATGTGGTAACTTTATTGAGCACCCCGACTCTGATTTATTAATTAAATTCACAATAATTGTGTATTAGATGTAACTCAGCGCTAAATATATATTTTTACACAAATCACCTGCGAATAAGTTAATATATTATGTTGTAATTTATTCTCTATATTCTACGATACAATGTCACAATATATCACTTGTTGTACATATATATGCAAATTGATATTTAGTTCTATATACATGTATACATATTCCATATGTCGCGAGGCCGATGCCCTCGCAACAATCAGCATTTTAAGAACCAATTAATAATCATTCGAGCCGGCTAGGCATTCGGCGTAAAATTAGCAATAATATTATATTCGAAAATACAATAAATCAAAGGACGTTAACAGCGACGTACCGAGAACAGTCGCGCAATGCAATTACCGAAATGCTGAGCGCTGACGCGGCAACGCAGTAGTAATAAGTACGCGCAACGATAAGCCGTGGGCGGTCAGTCTTTTACGTCCGTCTTGACACGACCGGTCGTGTCAAGACGGACGTGTGTCATAAAAATTTAATCTACTTCTCTTAAATAAGATGAAGGTGTTAAAAGAAATCAAATCTGTGAACCAACGTGAATTAAAGAATATATATGTTGTCTTAAAAGTTTATATTGAGTGTCGGAGTATTTTATTATAAAGTGAAGTCCCGTTTCCCCGCGGAGTCGGATCCTCTTTTGTGCCCCTCAACCCCCGGGCACAACAAATTGGTGGCAGCGGTGGGATCCGCATCCGGAAGGAACAGGACCTACAGCCGACATCTCTGGTCACCTGAAACAAAAAGGGAACGAGTGCGATTAGTAAGGCAAAGGATCGAGCCAGCGCGAAGCAGCCGAAGCCAAGCGGATAGCAGCACGCCCGAGTCACCCGGTAGCGGCCACAAGCGCGACGCCCGACGCGTAACCTGAGACGGCACCGACCTACCGCAACGGCTCAACTACAGACACCACTACGAAAGCAGACAGCGGACAACATGCGATTAGCGATTATACTGTAAGTCCGTAGCAATTAATATAGCGAAAAGTAGTCAATGTCGGAAAGCACAAATAGGGAACGACGTGAAAGAAATACGTCCTGGTTACATAGCGAACCAGCACGCCGCGCACTTATACCTACTCCGGTAAACCCCGTGCGAGTGGTAGAAGAAGCAGTTTGCGACATTAGGGACAGCGTGCGTAGAAATTTAAACGCGTACTATTCTGACAAGAGCTCAGCCGAAAGCGAACTCGAGCTCCACCCTAACATCGTAATAGAGCGCGAATTTCAATTCGACGACATTGACACAAGCATAATACAGACAGACGGACAAGATACAAACAGACTGCACCCACAGTACGCAGCATCCGCATATTCAGACAGTGCGGTAAGCAGGCTTTCGCTTAGAAAGGAGTTCTCGCTGACGTCGTACGACAGTAGCGTATTCGATCCCGAGGAATTTTATACGGCATCAAGAGACGCGACAAGCCTAGAAATGACGCGTCAGCCACCGACTACACCGCCCGAACAGAAGATCGACTTACCGCCGACTAGCGAAAAAATAGACGCGGAAATAAATCGACTTTGAGGATCAGCAGTCCCGCGTGCGTCAGGGCAGCCCGGGGCTGCCGCGACGCCGTATTAGGAGATTTACTCGCGGCAATGTAGGCGCTACAATACCGTGTAGATCAAATAGAAGGCTCACGGAATGAGAACCGCGGAGAAACTCGACGCCCACCGGTTAACGCGACGCTCGACACGACGTGCGGGCGCACCGGCGAAGATGTGCGAAACCAACGCGGAACAGGGGACGAATATATAAAATTAAAAGAAGCGCAAGAATCGATTCCAAAAAACAGAAAGATCGTCGCGGAAACAAGTACGGGAATTTCTAAACGCGTGTGATTACGCGATAAAAGAGATAGACCCGGCTAAAGAAAACGCGTTAGTAAGAGCGATCCTAGGCACTAAGCTAACCGGGAAGGCCATGTACGACTTCTAAACCAAGGATATTCGCTCGTACGCACAATTAAAGCAGGAGATAGAAGCGTGTTACTTGGCAAAGCGAAACGCGGCACATCTCCAAAACGAACTCTACGCACAGCGGCAAAAGCCCGGCGAGAGCGCGCGCGATTACGGAACGCGCGTAGAGAAACTATCAATTGAATTTTACCAAGCTATCATAGAAGGTAAACCGAGAACAACAGAGCAAAAGCTAGGGGTCCAAGAGACCGTCCAGGGAATAGCTCTCGAAATCTTTCATATGAGGCTCCGAGAGGAAACGCAGACTATTGTGCATTCTCGGAACTAGCCGACGCTAAAAGAAGCAATTTTGGGCGCCACAACGGAAGAAAAGCTAAAGAGGCTCCAGAGTAAAACAAGTTACAACACTGACCGTAATAGAAGCGAGCAGGATAGAGGCCGAAATACGAGCCCGAAGTGCTACCGATGCGGCAAAGCAGGGCACATAGGTCAGGAATGCCGTACCAACAGATATGCGAATAAATTCAGCTTGCCAAAAGCAGATAAAAACGGCTGGCGTAAATGCAATAGACAAATATTGTAACTATTGTAAAAAGGCCGGACACCTCAGGGAAGAGTGCTGGACTTTAAAAGGGCGAGAGCAAGCAAGCCAACCGAGAAAGAAGGAATACGAAAAGAAAAACAACCAAATGGAAAACAACCAACAGAACCAAGAGAACTGTCCTCCACAAATATACAGCTCTCTAACTAGAAAGACAAACAAAGATAATGAACCGTATGTAATGTTAATTGTAATACAATAATTAATATTATTATTATTATTTACTTAAATAATTTTAATTGTAATAATTGTAGATATGAAGAGATAATTTTGGGACAAGTAGTACATTCTCAAACTTCACCTTCGAAGTTGCGATCACCAGATAATGTCTCAGTCGGTGAAATAAAATCACTGAGTGTTCGACATAAACGTACTGCCTACGATAATCGAAAAAATGAATTACACGATCGCCACCAAAAGTTTAATTATAAACATTCATTGATAAAAGAGAAGAATTATAATTCTCATTCGCGAGATCGTCGGTCGCGAGAGCATAGTTCTCACGGCCGTCGGTCGCGAGAGCATAGTTCTCACGGCCGTCGGTCGCGAGAGCATAGTTTTCACGGCCGTCGGTCGCGAGAGCATAGTTGTAACGGTCGTCGGTCGCGAAAGCATAGTCTTGACCGTCGATCGCGAGAGCATAGCTCTCATGGTCGTCGATCACGAAATCATAGTCCTGATAACCGTCGATCTGGAGATTACAGTCCTGAGGATCGTCGATCGCGAGAGCATAGTCTTCACGGCCGTCGGTCGCGAGATCATAGTCCTCATGGCCGTCGATCGCGAGAGCATAGCTCTCACGGTCGTCGGTCGCGAGATCCTAGTCCTCACGGCCGTCGATCGCGAGAGCATAGTTCTCACGGTCGTCGATCACGAAATCATAGTCCTAATGACCGTCGATCTCGAGAGCATAGCTCTCACGGTCGTCGATCGCGAGATCATAGTCTTGATAGCCGTCGATCGCGAGATCACAGTCCTCACGACTGTCATTCGCGAGAACATAGTTTTCGCGACCGTCGGTCGCGAGATCATAGTCATGACGATCGTCGATGTGGAAATTACAGTCCTGTTGACTGTCGATCTCGAAATAATAGTCCTCGCGACCGTCGATCGCGAAAGCATAGTCCTCGCGGACATCGATCACGAGAGCACAGTCCTCACGGCCGTCGATCTCAAAATGATAGTTCTAATTATTATAATGATCGATCGTGTGATCATAATAATTATCGCATGACAAGTAGACAAAATACTTCCACAAAATATTGTACGTAATAAGAGTGATTTTATTATTATATTATTAGATTTAGTAACTAAACAACAACAAAAATATTATGTATATACATATTACAGATGCACGTGGAACACGCGCCGGTAAGTGGATTCAGCTGAGGCGAGAAAGAGTACTGAAGCACTTAGTCAATGTCCTAAGTAGATAAGTACGTATTTGCACTTATGTAATTTGACAATTTTGATTTAAAGTACATACATATAATCACACGCACATACACACACATACACACATACACGCGCGCATGCATATGTATATCTACATATATATATGTATACATCCAACAAATCTTTCTTCTGCAAAATATTGAATAACTGTCGAACTAATTAGAATATAACATTTTCAGGCTCAAATGTATCCAAGAATACATACAAATAACGCGTAACTATACGTATGTGTTCATACATACATATATGAAAGAACCAAATTACAACCTTCGGTTGGCGGCAGTCGGGAGTAAAAATAATAAGAAAGAAAATAATCAAAAAGTTATATTCGTTTTGTTTTACAGATTTAAATTGTTTAAAGAAAGATAAGTCTTATTATTATTATACTAATATGCAAAAGTTTATATGTATTTTTTTTTGTTTACTCTATTTGAGAATGATTTAATAAGATGATAAGATGAATGATTTAATATATGCAAGTTTATGTAACTGCCAAAGAATAATTATTTTTTTCAATTTAGAAAGTCTGAATCTTAATATAATATATTAATAATAGCAATTTTGATAAAAGATAATAATAAAAAAAGTCATGTCCATTTTGAACTAAGTTTTTTCTCTGCTTTTTTTAGTTATATTAAGAAGTAAAACAAAATTTTATGAACAAGATAAGAAGCAAATGAAGTAATATTTGTTTACTCTGCTGAAAATGAGTAATTGTAACATAACAAAGATAATTTTTTTGAAAAGGATAATAAAAAGAACTCATGTTTACTTATAATAAGTTTATTTCTGTTAATTTTTATTTTTATTAAGTAAGACAATTATTATACAGACAGTGTAAACGTAAATGCATACATATGCATGTATGCATGCTTGTAAAACTTATAACATTAAATAAAAAAAAAATATCTTACAAACAAATTAAAAAGCATGTATGTATTTGTATAATAATTTTATTTGTTATTGGTTGTTTAGCCAAATTTGTTGAATTTAAAATTATTTTTATACAAGGTAACTGAACTGTAAGTTTTTGAAATAAAAACATTCATAAAATCTAACATATTAATTAATAATATAATAATAAAATAAAAAAAGGTATAATATGAAAAGATAAGAATTCAACAAATTTGTTTTCAAGGTGCACCACGAGAAGGTAAACCAATAACGCACCTCACCTGTAACTAAATAAATAATATTAATACACAATAGATACTAAATATTGTATCTTATAATTATATTGATATATAATATATTAATTTAAAAAAAAAGGAAAAGTTCCAACACAGGCTTATATTAAATAACAATTAAATAATTGAAAACTTACCACATTACTTTCCAAAATAATTTCTTTTCGCAGCCCATTAAATTTTTTAATGTAATAGAATGTATATGTTACATTTCAAGATGTGTAGATTTCTGCTAAGATAATTTAATCTTTTATATTGTGTAAAATCAATATTGGCGCTGAAAAAATATATTGAATTAAGTCATGTTTTGTTATTACGAAGATGTATGATTTGCTCTTAATCTATTCAATTCCGCCAAAGCATTTTCATCACATGGACGTTGAAATAATCTCTTCTGATCAATTTCAGAAATTGCTAATCCTTGTAGACATCTTACACGGCTAAGTGCAACATATGCTTGACCTTTTGCGAATACTTTCTTACCTAAATATACTACAGCTCTTTCTACTGTAACACCTTGTAACTTATGAACTGTTACTGCCCAACTCAAAATAATTGGTAACATTGTTCTTTCTACATTTCCGTATCCTTTATTACTTTGATATATCACACTAATTGGAGAAATACCAACATAACCATTGGATTCTTTTAAACTGTTTCCTATTGCAGGATCGTCGAATTGAATGAATATCTTTTTAGGTAATTCACCATTTTCTAATTGGTCTCTTCGTAAAGCTTGCCATTCAAATCCACGAACGACACCCATGCTACCATTCACTAAACCTTCATTAACTTTTAAATTATATCGTAACATTACACGGGATCCTACTGCAAGTTTGAGCGTAAATAGTAAACCACCAGTATTATTAGGATCAGTAGGAATTGCTGCAACAGGAGGTTTTTGACCATAAGTTGCAGGTTCTCTCGACTCATCTCGTGCATTTATAATATAAATTCTGTGACTCTCTGCCAATTTGTCAATCATTTTGTTGTTATATGAATTAACTAATTGTATAGTTGGAAAAATACGAATAGCTTCTCCGTCAGCAAAATCATTAATTAGAGGGACATATGTTCTATTCAATAACATTTCGTATTGTGCAATATTAAGTTGTCCAACTCTTAAATTATTTAATAAATCAACAAAATCTGCATCATTTTGTTGACGCATATTTGCTTTTAATTCACACAAATTAAAATATCGCCATAAATGCGGTTCACTTTGAAAACATACAGGTTGTTTAAAACACCAATTTCCTTTTACAGGTGGTAATTGCATAATGTCTCCAAATAAAAGTATATTAACACCACCATATAACTGATTATTGTTTTTAAATTCTTGAAGGCGAAGGTGAACTGATCGTAATATTTCATATGAAACCATTGATATCTCATCTATAATTAGCCAATTAATATGTCGCCATTTACGTCTGGAATCTTCAAGACGTTGTCCTGTTAACTGTCTATATATTGTAGGCTTCCCTTTTTCTATTGCCAAAAAAAATGCACTATGTAAAGTACGTCCATTAATTAATCTGGCTGCGACTCCAGTAAGAGCAGTTACTTCTACAAATATTGGTTTCAATAACCGGTCTATAGTTGGAGCATAACATCGTTTAATTTGTTGTTCTATCATTTTCAAAAGAAACGTTTTTCCGCATCCTGCTCCTCCTGTAATAAATATTCGTAAAGGTTCAATATCTTGATTTTGAAGATCTTGTTTAATATGATTAGTGATTTCACCAAACAAATGAGATTGTTCTATGTTCATACTTCTAACATTGTTACTAAATTCTTCGTCAGATACAACATGATTTATTTCATTAGGCTCCTCGTGTAAATCAAAATCAACATTGTAATCACACAATCCTTCCACCATACAACGAGCATGCTCCTCGCATCTTTCGGCAGGTGGTTCATTAATCTCACCGCTTTCAAGTGCAACAATCTGAGCTATAACTTCTTGTAATTCTCGTTCTATAAATTGAAACTGTTCAATATCTTGTCCTGTGCGTAGAGGTCGTAACAAATCACGTTTTGCATTAAATGCCTCTTCCGCTGATTCATATCCTTCGAGTAGTTCTTCTTCTTTCTTAAAAGGAATGTGAGCTACTAAATAACTATAAAAATAAGCTTCTCGATTAGCAGTTAGAGTATAATATCGCGTTCTTAAAACTGCAGGACGCGAACGTCGTTTCATTTTTGTACCATCTTGTAAGCGAATATATGTATTTGAAATATTATTTTCACTTTCGTAAGCATCAATATCTCCATCTTCCTCATAATTATTGAATCGTGATACATATTCATAAGTAACAGCAAACTCAGCTAAACTGAGATCATTTAAATATTCTGGACGTAAACAATAACGATCAAATATGTTAGCGTATAAATTATTATAACCATCGTTACGTAACATACGATAACGTTCTTCTGGAAAACATGTGTTTAGAAAAATAACTTTTCGTGAACTATCACGTAATTTTAAATGACATAAACGAAATGCGCATTCGCAAGCAGATACCTGCCTATGTCGAAGTATAGTCATTGATACAGCAAATAATTGTTTTCCTATATCTCCGCCATAACTTTGTACTCTACTAATCGCATCTTTAACTGCTTGACCTACATCTTGAGGTTCATGTTTAGATGCATATTTAGCTATATAATATGCTATACCTGTAACGTTTCCACAAGGTTGTAAATCCATATTACCACCCCATAATTTAAGAATTATAGGATTATAATTATTGATGTAAATATCTGTAGAATCACGCTTTAAAATACAAAAACGTCCATTATTACGAATAGCTTCATCTGGCCCAAGTAATATGGTTCTATCACTAATTCTCCTAGGAAAACCAAATCGACATTGACCATGTTGTCTATCTTTATGACATGTTGCAGTATGTTTATACACTTGAACGCGCGCTACAAGCGTATCTAATTCATCATCTCCCGTCCGAGATGTGCAAGATATAATGTTATTAATAAGAGCAATACCATCTGGAGTGTCAAATGGAGGAATTCCTTCGTTCCAACATAACATATGCAAATGCGGACTACCTCTGTTTTGAAACTCGATTCTCCACCAGAAATCAATTAATTTGCCACCTAATAATGCATTATCATTCTGTAATATACGCATTATAGCATGAACGCGAACCATAAAATGACGAGATAATGCTACAGGATGTTCAATAATTAAACGTTGTTTTTCATCAAATTGCAGATTATCAATATTCTCCCCATTCCTTCCTGCTGCAATTAAACATGCTTGCAACATATCTTTCCAATTTAAATCATTGCAACTTAATGTTAAAAACCATTGTGGAGGACCCAAGTTGCGTACCATAGCAATTAAATTGCTACATGAAGTTTGCCAATAAGCATTAGAGCCACGTAAAGCTCTCATATTAATATGCAAATTTTGCACAAGACCTTCGGGTCTATTAGTACCTTGTCTTAATCTAAGACAAACACCAACATTTTGTCGAGCTCGATAATATTCCATAACTGATAAAGAATAAAATAAATAATCATTCCGTTGGAATCTGTGATCTTGACACATAATACGTGCTTGAAAATAATCTAAAGGTGTTATAGAATACGTTCGTAATGGCTCATGAAGTCCATTCCGTCCTTTTGGAAAAAGGAAAAACCAAGCCAATTCTTCAGCTCGAATTTCATTGTCTATTTGTAAAGGATTTGTAGTTTTTCGTCGCAATGTATATAATGAAGCATTTTCTTCTCTTTCAATAATAGATTGAACATCAGGTATATTTGCATCAATAGGTCGTAAAAATGAAGACATAAGAATAGCATCATCATTCCTATTTTCAATATTTTGATCCAAGTCTATAGCATTATCAATAGGCATATTAACGGGAATATTTGTCAAATTAACAGATTCTATTTGATGTTCGTTTGATTGAATATAAGGACAAACAGGCGCTATAGCATATTGATTATTAAATATATTTTCTGAAGATTTTGGTATAGTATTTTTTAACGTATTGTACATTGATTGCATCTCTGCAAATCTAATGAGGCATGCTGTGCCATTTTTTGCTGGTCTACCATTTGGTCCTCTGGAATGTGAATCAAAAATCCAAAATTTATTATCAAATCTAAATATAGCAACAGAAATTCCATTAGCAGTTAATATACCATAAGTATGATTTTGAAAGAAAACGTCTAAACCATTTTTTAAATTTGGAAATCCTTCAATGCTGTTATTATTATATAAATGTCCACATATATTTTCAGTATGTGTTATTGAAAGAGTAATAATATTCC